GTCTAGGTGATCCTGCTCTGGCAGGGGGCGTGGATTGGATTGGATGATCTTTCAAGGTCCCTTCCAACTCCTAATATACTGTGATTCTGTGATTCTGTGAACAAATGTAGAGTAGCACACATGGGAGTGAGCACAAAGAATACGTCAACTGTCTTCCACATTAACACCTGATTCACAACTTCTCTGAGACTTTGAAGTCACTGAAGACAATTCAGTGATTAATTCAATGATCGTAAAAGCAAGCAAACTGCTAGGAGTAAGAAAAGAAACAGAGAAGAGATTGAGGAAAAACTGTACTGATTTAGAAATCCATTTTATTCTACTCTCAGGGCGTTTTCAACCCCCATCCCCCCCCACCTCAGCTCATGACTAAGGGTAGAGTAGCATGAGCCAAAAGCTGAACAATGGCGGGCAAAGAGTGCAAGACCATTAGGAGATCACGAAATATTGCTGCAGGTTTTTGTAGGTGTTGAAGACTGACAATTTCAAACAGTGCTGAAAGAAATCCATGGAAAAAAGGAGGCCATAAAATGCTGTTAATCTGAGGCTCATGTACAACCCAGTGACTCTCTACCCTCAGGTTTCTGGAAGACTATGCTATTTGTGTGATTGCTGTTTGTTTACTCTATTTTTATAGACTTCCCTAGGTAATTGCTTCTTGCCACTGTCAGCCAGGGCACTTGCACTAGATGGATGTTTAATCTGACCCTGTGAAGCCATTGTTTTGGCAGTAGATTTTAAGATAAAAGCTTGCTGCTTTTCCCTCATTTTCAAGTGTCTCTGCATGTGGGAGTGCTGGTGGAGTCCGAGAACTCAATCTGAGTGTTTTTATTTCCCTCTTAGCCCTTAGCTGTGCTTTAGTTAACAGCTTTTCTCCAGTACCTGTGGCCACTCAGCTCCAAATATAGCATCAAAATTAGCTGCTTTTGCAAGATTTCAATAATATGCTTAGTTTTATTTGTACTATTTTGATGTTTGTATTATGTGTTAGTCCATTAAGTGCTATGCTAAAGGCTGTGCATCTTTGTTCATCTCTGTACATTTATTCTGTTGTTCAATGTTTTTGCAGCAGATGAATACAAAGATATTTTCATGGATTCTTTTTTTCCCCTCACCTCCTCCTTTAAGTGCCTTTGAAATACATTTCATAAGCTTCTGCAATTGCCACACTGGTCCAGTAGTCTATATTTAAGTTCTTATCTTTTAGTATTAGCACACCAAATTAGCTATTCTTTGGACACCAAAAAAAAATCTTCACCCCAGTTTGTTCCTTTCTGCCACTTGCTGCCACAATTAAAGATTAATGGCTCTGTTCTTCCAACGCGAACAGTTCCTATTCTCAAGTACTCATGCGTTCCTATTCTCAAGTACTCATGCTAAATAGCTGTATCGGCTCCTTGTCGGTGTTGAGTAGCAGTTCCTGCCACACATACCTATCTTTTGAAAGTTGGTTTGGTGAGGCAGGTAGGCACTTGTTTATTTGGACTTCTCAGTGTTTAAATAGGTCATTGCAAGAGACCTAAACCAAAAATGAACAAAAAGCAGTGTAGCTGCTTACTGGGCACAGCTGAACTGGCTGACAGAGTATCTTCTTAATTCTCTTGGCATCAGTGACAGTCAGCAATTGCAAAGGAAAATAAGTTGCTCTACTTTTCTCAGTAAACATGTTTTAATGATTCTTCAGGCTGCAAGCTAGTACTTACTGTAAGAATGCACAAACCTAAAGTCTTGCAGGTAACATCAGTTTTGCTTGATAGAGCTAACCCTTTTATGAGAATTGCTCTAGCGCTTAGTGTTGCAGCAGCTGTTCTTAAAGTAGGAAAAAATTGAACCATTTATACAATGCCTTTCTTAAAGAAAGAAGTGTCTAGGGGAAGGGAATGGGCTGAAGCACAGGTAAAATTATGAGAGAAAAAATGTTAGATTGTCAACAGCAGTTGTATTGCTCCAGGTAATCCCTTGCTCTGTGTGCTGCCATCCCTCCATGCTGCTCAGTTTTATGGGGTAAACTGAATTCACTGTAACCTGACCATCAGTCTTCAGACAAGTCACTGCCTTCCAAGGGAATTTTATTTTTCAGATGTCATAAGTAGAAGCCTCAACAGTTGTGCAGGGCAGATATGTTGTTCCAGGAGCAGCACAGAACTGAGGGAACCATATTTCCTAAGATTTAGTACCCTTTCCCACCTGTAGCTCCCAGTTTACCTTTGTTGCCTGCAGCACCCTCATGGGGCAGCCACCAGCACCTGCTGTGCCTGCTCTGGAGCACCACAGGTCCACACCGGCTGGTCAGACACTGCTGAACAGTGTATGCCATGGATGGCAGAGTCCTGTTCACCTCTCTGCGCCTCTTCCTTCACCTGAAATTTATTGCAGAGCTTTTAGGACTTTCCCAGGTCCATCTCTGAATCTGCAGCCCTTCTTTGGTTATCTCAAAGTATTGGTGGAGAATAGGGGGGAGCACTAGGGGAAAAAAAGCTAAATGGCAATGATTTTTAAAGTAATTTTTCAAATTTTCCATGTGGACAAGTTAACAAGTTATCATTTTTGGTGTGCTTACCACTATATAAAGCGTACATGTGAATTTTGTAGGGTGGAAATTACAGTTAGTGTTTCAGTGGGCATAAACTTCCATGTGGCAGTAATCTTTATCAAGAAAAGTCTTTGTCACAGAACAAGGAGTGATGCTAATGAGGGAAGAAAGGCAAGACAAATGCACACAGACCTTCAAGACTTAATCAGAAAGTTGTAGTGCTGGGCAATAAATAAAAGTATAATTAGGAGAAATCAACATACAAAACATTTTGTGCTGTACAGTCTAAAGCCTTCCTGATAGTATGAGGAATGTGGCAAAGAAAGTAGCTTCATTCATATCAACAGGTAGACAAGGTAGTGAGAGGAAGTAAAATGGGTTTCTCATCATAAAACTTCCTTTATTAATAAACAGAGCACTTGTGTCTTTGATTTGGTGTCAGCTGGGAGTTTCAGTTGGAGCAGATACTTGCTGACTGGCCTGTGCTTACCTCCCACCATCCTTCTGGGAAATAATGCAGTCAACTCACTTCACAGCACCTTTGGAGCGATCCACGCTCAAAACTGGGACCGAACAAAACAGGCTTTACATGTACTGCCTAAAAGTACTGCAAGTAATGCAGATTCATTCACTTAGTCACAATTAATTATTGTTTTTATTTATTGCAGATACAGAGTGTATTTTGGAGCCTCTGTCTCTGCCAGAAAGTCCAGGTGGTGTTGCTGCTGTAGAAAGTTCTCCCTATGTGCCTTGCATTTTCTGCAAAGAATGCTATCTCTTAGCAGAACAGAGCCAGCTCCTGAAGCACATGATTATTGAACACAAGCTCGTCATAGCAGATGTGAAACTGGTTGCAGATTTTAGAAGGTAAGGGTTATATTGTTTAAAGTGAGTGTGTATGTGTGGAGATGATACAGAAAGGTTCAGAAAACTAGAGATCATCTTTCTAAAATACTTTAAAAAGCAGTAGAGTGTTGTGGGAGGATTTTTATTACTTTTTTTGTTGCTGGATTGTAAGGTTTTTTTCCCATTCCCCTCCCACTTCCCAGCCCCTAGATGTTGCTGGTACCAGGGGATTTGATACTAGAATACAGGGCCTCTCCTGTGTTAGACATTCTTTGATGTATCCTAGGGACTTCTCAGGTCCTGTCCCTAAACGATTTGCATACAAGCTAGAAAGCTGTTTAATTTGTAAAGCACATTTATACAGTCAACTATCTTAATTTTGGGTTTTATTTGTATAGGACAAGACTATTTCTACTGCTGTGCAATGTCCTAAAGCTGTGTATTCTGTGCAGAAGCTGCTCAGTACAGGACATCTCACATTCTGGGATGGAATTAATTTGCCCTATTTTAAGGTTGCCAGTATTTCCCCATAGAAATCACATTTAATCTTTAACTATACTTTACAGGACTGTGATCTACATACAAGTGTGACTCCTTCTACAGCTGTGTCATTGATCATCTCAGCAGGGTCACATTTGGCTTTCTCTCTCTCAACTTCCTCCAGTACCTGGCATGGCCCCAGCTGGCATCTGAGTTCAGAGACCAGGCGCTTGCTTGGCATTTTGCTTTCACACACACAGCAATGTATGGGCCAGGCGGTGGGCTAGGCAGTACCCTCCAGTTTGTAGAGAGTCCTGTTGCAGTGTTTAAATGTTAATGGATAATTTCTCAGCTAAAAGGAGTTTTCTGGTAGGTCTTCTGTAATTAGTTACTCAGCCAAAGCCAATACCTTGTGTGTATCAAGATGCAAAAAAAAAAAAAAAGAAATACTAAGGTGAAATTTAGGAAGAAGAATGTAAGCCATATAAATCCTTATTCAGATGTATGAGCTTAACATTGCTTAAAATTGAAATCTGATAATTGTTTTTGTTTGGTTTTATGCTGAAAGCAGGCAGAACAAGAATGCAGTGTTCTTTGGAGATAATGCTAGAGTCCTCAGATAAATAAAGGGATTCAGAACTGTTCAGTCATGGACTGCCAGTTTAGGTGTGCTTGGGGGATTATTCTGAAATGTATTTTAAAATCGCCTTTTCAAGAAAATATCCATTCAGATTCTTTTTTACTGCTAATGCAGTTGGGAGGTAGCCAAATCTTACCGAAAGTGGCCCCAGGATGTGAAATGATGGAGCTGTTGCTCTGAAGTGTGCCTTCTCTTATTTGCTGTACTGAATATCAGTAAAATAGTCTAATACTATGCACAAAAGAAGGACGTATTATCGGAGGTGTTAAACTGAAGTATTGAAAATACAGGGAAACAGCTAGGAAAACGTATTTTTTTTACTTAGCAATGAGTTACAATCAGTCTTAGGAAGACCTCATATAGTAAGATAGAGGGTAAATAGAAATGTCCTCATAATAATGATATCTGAATTTTTTATGATTCTTTTCCTAATTTGATGGCATGTCCATAGAGAGCTCTCATTTTATAGTTAACCTTCACCTTACTGACTCTCACATGATTTCTATCACGCGCGTGACTCAAAAGTATAAATATAAGCATGCGCTCAAGCATTTTCAGGTTTTTTTTTAATAGTAAGATTCTGAAGAATTAGCACAAGGATTGCTCAGTTCCCTTCATCCCATACTTGAAGGTGATGATTTCTTCTTCATTAGACAGTAGCTTCTAGTTTAGTGGCAGCCTCGTCTCAGTTGAGGTGTCTTAATGCTGCTGTCATAGAATGATAGTACAAGAATGTTCCTAAACAACTGCAGTTGATGGGTTAAAACTTCAAGATGCATTTAGTGTTTTCCCTATTCTGTCTGCTATCCCACCCCCAGGTGTTTGGAGACTTTATTTTTCTGTCTTTCTAGATATCTGCCAAGCCACAGCTTTCACTGTAACTCCACAGGAGACCTGCCAAAACCTCGCTTTTGACAATTTGGTATTTTTACTGAGTTTCAGATTCCTGCCTGCATCTTGCAGAACAGAGACTACAATACTTTGGGAATTTGAGAGTACTCTGTAGTATATCTCTTCAGTAAAGATGCATCTGAGTGGCACTTCTGTCTGAAGATGTGAATAGGTCATGGTGTTTATGTAAAGCTTAATGCAAATCTGTCTTACTGAGTTCTTCACTTTGACAGGATGGTTAAACCCAGTTTTAATGAAGCTGAAGGAATTTAATGAATTGGAAAACTAGACTAAAGGAAGAAAAAGACAGAGTCAGCAATTAAAAAAACCCACTCTTAAGAATTTGGAAGATTGAAAAAGTAAAAGCCAATCAACTGTTTATTCAACTTTTTGGATGTTTCCTTTTTAACTTATCTTTTCCCCCTTATTTTTAAAGGTACATCTTGTACTGGAAGAAGAGACTTGCAGAACAACCCATCACAGACTTTTGTAGTGTGATAAGAACAAATTCAGAAGCTCCATTAGGTAAATATGCTGCTTGCTTGCTCTGTTGGCCAGGCCATGTGATAATTTCTGGCATATACTGCTGCTTTGATCAGCCAGTATGGAGTAATCTGACCCTGGTCAGAAAACCACAGAAGTAATGTTTGACTTTCAACCACATATTTAAACTTAACTTTTCCAAGAATTGCAACACGTGCCTCAGCACTGTGCTGAGCAAGGATGAGCTCAATACATGCTTAAATCCGCTGCCAAATTAGCACAATCACCTTCCTTTCCGCTGCCACAGTGTTCACTGCCTCAAGGGTATTAGTTGACAAGATCATCATGGTAGGGGTACAAACGCTGCCATTTTCTGGGCTCCAACGCAAGACCAGAGACGATACTTCATGGTTCTGCTGCATTGGCACAGTGGGACATTCCAGCATAAGGACAGTGATTACTGCACAAAGGAAGTGTTTTTCTCAGAAGCAGCTGATGCATTTCTTTGGCTTCCTCTTTCCTAACAGAAAAATACAGTTTACCTAAAAGCAGGTAAGAGAATGTTAGGGCTTTCCTGAATCTTTTAATTCTCCATTGAGAGCTTAAAAGAAGACAATACTTATTTGTTTATTAACAAACTTGTTAATTTTAATGGCTAGCTCCTGCAAATTTGATAGCTCAGAAATCAGTGGGTTTGTCTTACCTCACACAGGCTTCTGTATTAAATGATGGGAAAGGCTGAAGTGTAGCCAGTTTAAAACTGTAAAAGACTTAATAATGGTCACTTCAGTTCACCAACCATATAACCCTTTGATTAATAAATGAGTTACTTTCAAATGCAAAATATGTTTTTAAGTGGTTCTGTGTTTTCTTACAGGCTGAGTAATTTTAAGGTAATTCATTTGAATAACATTTGTTTTATTATTAAATTGGACATAAGGTTAGTAAATGTAAAATGTGGGTAAAGCACATAAATAGAAATGTAAATTAGGCAAATCTCAATCTGCATTACTAAACAGTTGTGGTGCATATCAGCAGATGGAATAAGATTTCATGGTAAAAGGTGATGTGGTATGTCAGGGTAAGAAGAAGGTATAGCAAATGATAATAACTACTGAAAAGTGGCAATTACTTAGGGAAATAACTGAAAATCTCACATGCAAGATAAAATTAAAGGTGATTTCATGGGGTTTTTTTCATGCTGACTTTATGCTTTGAGCAGTATAAATGATTAAAACTGCTTTATGTCTCCAGAAGAACTATCATAAAAAAGAGTAAAACTGGTAGTGGAGAAAACATAAGCAAGACTTTTGTCTTTGTACTGCAATATAGATGATGCAAAGGTCTTACAAATATGTATATACAAATAATTAAGCATCTTTCATTCAATTATGAAATTAAAATAACTGATTTTTACAGATTTAAAAAAACCATTCTCACATTCTTAACACATGCCAAAGGTTTATCAAATTATGTGGCAGAAATATTCAAAGCAGCTGCAACTTCGCATTGCTTACTCACATTTCTTAATCTCTTCACAGAAGAACAGGACAATTATTTTCTTCTATGTGATGTTTTACCAGAAGACAGAATACTTAGAGAACAGCTACAGCAAAAGAGACTGGTAGGAAATTCCTGTTGTTTCATTTTTTGAGGTGAACAGTTCCACAATGTAATGTATGGTAACTTAGTGGGCATTTTAAAGTGAAAGGATTTTTTTCCAGACTGCAAAATTCTAATTTTTTTTTATTTTTCTTGAAGCTCATTTCCCTAGCTGCTGCACAAACATATACAGAGTCTTTGTTTGTAGATTTTTCCTTGGAATAAATTTTCAAGTTGTGTGTCAGTGTTCCACATGAGTGGAAAATATGCCCAGAGCACTAAAAAAGGCTGAGTATACTAAGCATTATTTTTCTTCTTGCAAGAATCTGCAGTGCCTTGACACATTTATCTTTTGTGTAATAATATACATGTAGGGCAATTAGCAAAATAAAACTCAGTGTGTGATACCGTGAAAAGGGAAGGTGATACTTACGAAATCTTCAAGCAAGTTGGTTTTGTGTGTTCACAGCCTCTTACCAGATTTCATTAACTCACAGTCGCATACTCACGAGCACCTCAGTGCATGAGCGGAGGAAGTGTGGTCAATGTTGTTTCTGTGAGACGCGAAGGACTAGAAATACCAGCTGTTGAATTCTCATTAACTGCTCTGGTTCTTCCTACTTGGTGATGGCAACCTAGTACTTTGGACTGACCTCTCGTATCTTTTCAGAGTTGTCAGTTCTGAATGGGTGATTCTTCACATTAAGCTCTTGCTGACTTCAGCTTCAATCAGTCTTTGTCCATATTGCTGACCACTGGGTTTTTTCTGTTGTTTTCTTGTTTGAAATACACATCTGTAGTCTGGTTTTGCTGTTGGGCTCATTTAAAAATGAATGTTGTGTGATACATAGCAGCCTGGATGCCAGTCTCCCCGTGTTAGGATGCAGGGTCTTCTGCTGGCAAGTCATCTGTGCTGTGAGGTGTTAGGGTGCAGGCCTTTTGGTCTTGACATAAGTGTGTTTACTGCTGGCAGCTCTGTCCTGGGAACTGTCAACACAGGCCTTTTAACCCTTCGTTATGCTGTTTGTTCTGGTACCTTACCTGCTTGGCAAGGCACTAACCTTATGTTTCTATTACAAATCTGTACACACACAGCACACGAGTATAGACACCTCAGATCATCAGCATTCCCAATGAAGGAGCTGTTTACAAAAAACAAATTCTAATCCCTTGGAAAATTGGGATTGACAGGCAAAATCCAATTGATTCAACTATCCTGTGAGTGCTGCTTCAGTTTGCTGACTGAAGTAATGTTCTGCAGCTCACAGCACATGACGAGTGAATCCCTGGAACCTGTGGAGTATGTACAAGTCTTACACAGCTCTCCATAGGATCCCATCTCCTGCAAAGGAGAATTGTAGTTCTGCCACTGAGGATTTCCTGTGGAATTGGAGTTCTATCAGCTGAAATCTTCATTCCTGTGAAGGCCCATTGGATTGGCATGGACTGAGAAAAAAAGCAGCTGATGCACTCATGCCTAGCATGCTTCTCTTCCCATTCATCCTAAGAGAAACCGTCCTGGATCAGTAAAAAGTTTTGGCTTATCCTTGACAGCAACAAAGTGGCTATGGTATTTGTCCACTTCTGATCTGATGGTGATTCTTTCTCAAAAAATTCTCCTAGTCTCCAGAAATGGACAGCTCAAGAATTTTCTAATTCAGCAACATTGTGTCTGTGTTTATTAACACCATAGATTTTTCTTTCATGAACCTCCAATTCTCAACCCACAGAAACTTCTAGTATCTATAGCTTCCTGCATTACATACTGGAAGAACCATCTGTTTGGCCCTTTTGAACCTGTCACCTCACACCTCGCTGTTTTTTTGTATTAAAAGAGGTAGTGAGCAATTCATCTTTAATCTTGTACAAATAATTCATGATTTGTCTCCTGGTTTATCTACCTTACATTATGTCTTTCATTAGTCATGTACTACAGTGCACCCTCATGGCGAAGAAGGTCAATGGCATCCTGTGCTGCAGTAATAAGAGTATTGCCAGCAGGTCAAGGAAGATGATCCTTCCCCTCTATGCAGCACTGGTGAGACCACATCTGGAGTGCGGAGTCCAGTGCTGGGCTCTCCAGTAAAATAAAGATACAGGCTTACTTGAGCAAGTCCAGTGCAGGGCCACAATGATGATTAAGGGACTGCAACATGCTTTGTACAGGGAGAGGCTGAGAGAGCTTGGACTGTTAAGCTTGGAAGACAATGCTTGGGGTGGGGGGGATCTTATCAATGTGTATAAATACTGGAAAGGAATGAAGAAAGAGCCAGATTCTTCTCAGTAGTGCCCTCCAACAGGACAAGAGGCAATGGGCATGAATTAAAAATCAGGAAATTCCCTCTGAAAACAAGGAACCTTTTTTTTATTGTGAGGGTGGTCAGACACTGGAACAAGTTGCCCAGAGAGGTTGTAGAGTCTTCATCTGTGGAGATATTCAAAACACAGCTAGACACAGTGCAGGGTACCCAGCGCTAGGTGACCCTGTGTGGGCACGGGGGTTGGACTAGTTGCTCTTGAGGTCCTTTGCAACCTCAGTGATTTTGGGCCAACGATACTGACTCTTTGGTGGTTCTTCCCTGTGCATTATTGTTGCACTTCTCTGTACCTTTTCCATTTTTTTGTAATCCTTTTGAGGTTATGAAGACATCCTGAATATTGCATGTGGGCGTGCAGTGTCATAATGATGATCATTTCCCTAGCATATATCAAGCTGGTTGTGGCTTTGAGGAAGGAAAGAGGGTCGTGATTGAGCATGCAGCTAATGTTTCCACAGAGCTGTCTAATGTAAGAGTAACTCCTGGCTGCTACACATTGGACTGTACTTTTCTTTTTTTTAAAGGGCATTTGTTTCTGTTTTTATGGTGGTTTTTTTTGCTATGCAGTCCTATTCCAACTAGGTCTACTCTCCACTGCAGTGTCAAGGAAGTGCAGAGTCTATTGGCAGGTGAGCTGTCTCATCTCCTCTGCAAATAGATGTTTCTTCAAATTCAGAAAAGAGTGCAGGATTTAGCCCAGTGCAAGTGCTGGCTTTATTTATCAGAGTAATTAAGTTAGAAAAGAAAGAGGTATCCATTCCTATTATGGTGTGAAATAGCCTTTGCTGTTAACACTATATTAAATATCAGAATTGAATCTTCTGGTTTTACAGAAGCATTTTGTGAAATCAGGCTGCAGCTGTAGTCTTAGCTGACAGCTAACAGAGTTACTGCTTTAGTTACAGCAATGAAGTCTGTTTAGTTTTTCATTTCCCTCTGCTGCAATCTGAGTGTTGACTTGCAAGTTAAATAGTTATTTGCTTTACAAAGTCTCTTACCTCCAGACAAGTCCAGCAATTAAGAGTGAGCTGGCAAATGGGCTTATGTGAGTTGTGCAGAATAAAGACCAGAACTACACAACTTTTGGTGATTTTTCTGCAGCCTTTGAATCCTGACTGCTGTCTCCAACAGCAAGCCGAAACAAGGACAAATGTTGTCTTTAAAATGTGCTAGCTGAAGCATTTCATGTTGCAGTTTTGAAACTCCAGTTTAGGAATATTTCGGGGTTTGTTGCAGCAGGGGAGCCAGCCAAGGTGGATGTCATGCAGAGGTATTATGGTGACTGTGATGTATTGAGAGAGGCCAAGGAATGAGCCTGAACTGGGTTAGAGAGTGCAGCTTGCTGAAATAGCTGACAAGGCTATGTAACACAAAAAAGATACGGTCTTTTGGATAAACACACTCTTGACAAAGACTTTGTAGTTCTGAAGCAGTACCAGGCAAGGAAGTCTTGGCAGCGAAACTTGAGATACTAGGAGAGGCAATGTCAGCGTAACCCGCTTGGGCTCATCTCTAAAAAGGTAAAAACCTCAAACCTCTTTTTTGAAAATGCACACTTCCTACCACAGCATTGAGCTTGTTTTGCTGTCATGTTTACAGCTATTATTCTGTCATGTAACTTGTCGTTTTAGGTGAAGATGCTACTGTTCCTCCCAGTAGATAAGCCCTGAAGAAGAGTTCACCAAAACTGGAAGAGGGGCACAGGGATGTTTAGACTAGTCACCTGTACTGATAACCTGTTAGTGTGATCCCCAGTTTGTCACAAGCTTAAGCTGAAACAAAGTTCAAGAAGCTGAAGCTGTGTACTGGAAGAGATTGAGATGCCAGCCTGATTTAGCGTAATGCAGCATGATTTAGAGTAATGCAACGTGGAAGCTTACAGAGTAGCTAATAGTGGAACTAATATTAATGTAGCCTTGCCCATCCTCCATGGTCTTGTGAAGGCCTGTCACACTACTGATCAGAAATCATTTTATCTAATTCAGTGACAACTCTTGGGTAAATTGTGTCAGATTTGAATACATATAGTTTCCAACTTTTAACCCTTTCTTAGCCTTTTCTGGTTTTGGTTCTTTGTTTCTTTTATTTTAAATGCATTTCATTAATGGTTTTGTCATAATTACCTTTCCTGCAAGGTCTGAAGCCCTGAATATTACAGGAATTCCTCTTTTGCATTTGTTTGGTCTTTTCCTACATTAAGTAATGGATCTCTGCTTTTCTTTGCCATTTATTTCTAATGTAGCTGGGGGCAGGGAGGGGTGTGGTTTTTGCTATTTAGTTTTACTGCATTAGCCTGTCTCCATCTTCTTTTGCTTCTCTTAGTTCAGAAAAACTTCACCTGTCTCCCACTTCAGCTTGGCGGCCTGTAGTACATGTCTACTGTAATTTCAACCCTCTTTTTCTTTTTGTACCTCTTTGCACAGTTAGCTAGTTTTCACCGTAACATGAAACTTTTTCTCCCTTTTTTAATTGACTGAGCTTCCTGAACAAACTGTAAGAATGTCTTCTACGTCAGTGTCGCAGCACTCTTCAAAGCCACAGTCATCTGTCCTGTCATTGCTTACAGCCTCTTCAAATGTAGGTTCTAGCCTGTGTCACTTCAGCAGCTGAGTCAATTCAAGAGGGATAGGAAAGAGGAAGAATCTGAGAGCTAGTGGGGAATAATCGTTTACAGCCATCCAAGTTAGTCATTCCCACTGTTTGT